GAGACGTCCTCGCATTTTATTCAGGAATCGCGCTCTCGCTTGGGACTTCCTTGCAATTTATTCAGGAATCGCTCTCTCGGCGCTCTGGAGTCGCGCTCTCGCTGAAACTTGCTTGCAACTTACTGAAGAATGGCCTTGCGTTGGAATTTCCTGCAATTTGCCCAAGCGCCGCGCTCCCGACACCCAGGCACCCAGGAGTCGCGCCCGCTGTGGCCCCATGTGCATGCCCTTCGTGGCCCCGCTGTCGCCATTTTTTCCCCCTCACTGTCCTACGTGGCCCAGTTGCCGCCCTCAGTGGCCCCATAGTTGCCTTCTGTGGCCCCGCATTATCTGCACCTCGTGGCCCCCGCTCGTTCGCGCTCTTCGTGGCCCCATACGCATTCCCTTCGTGTCCCCGCTGTCGCCCTTCGTGGCCTACTTCGTGCCCTTCGTGGCCCTGCTGTCGTTCTCTCTTGCTCTCGCTTTCGCTCGTCGTCGCCGTCGTCGTCGTCGTCGTCTTCGACGTCGTCGTCGTCGTCGTCGTCGTCGTCGTGGTCGGTCCCCTGTCCGTCCCTCTTGGGGTCGGGTCGACGGTCCGCGGCCGCCCCGCCGATCAGCGCTGCCGCTGGCCAGGCCGACGGTCCGCGGCCGCCCCGCCGCTTGCCGGGGCCCAGCCTGCAGGGAAGAAAAGTATATCCCCCAAAAGGGGTTCGATCGAAGACGAAGAGGGCGGGTATCGAGGGTTTGGGACATACGCGTTATTGGACACTCGAGCGTATAAGGGCGAACAGTCATAACATTATTGCTGTTGTTGTTGTTGTCGTTGTCGTTGTCGTTGTTGTTGTTGTGATTGTGGTTGTGGTTGTGGTTGTGGTTGTGGTTGTGGTTGTGGTTGTGGTTGTGGTTGTGGTTGTGGTTGTTGTTGTTGTTGTTGCTGAATGTTAGCTACTAGGCAATTATTATGGTTGGACCCCTTAAAGGCGCTCATGGTTGGACCCCTTAAAGGCGCTCTGGCGCTCTCGCCGAGGCGCCGGCTACATTTTCATTGAAAATGAGGCTCACGCTCGAGCGGTTTGGGGGACCGCCCAAACCGGCCTCCCAACAACAACAACAACAACAACAACAACAACAACAACAACAACAACAACAACAACAACAACAACAACAGCAACAACAACAACAACAACAACAGCAGCACCAGCAGCACCAACAACAACAACAACAACAACAACGCTCCCGCTCGAGACTTCCTCCTTTTTTGCTCAGGGCTGGTGTTCTTGCTCGCCGCCGAAAGCCGCCGTCCAAACAAAACCAGCGCTCCCGCTCGAGACTTCCCCCCGTTTACCTTGGACTGGCGCGCTACTCTTTCTCTCGTGAGCGCCGCCCCCAGCAAAAACAACGCTCCCGCTCGAGGCTTCCTCCCTTTTATACTCAAGGCGGTGTCCTCCTCGCCGCCGAAAACCGCCGCCCCGACAAAACCAGCGCTCCCGCCCTAGACTTCCTTCCGTTTTACGCTGGACTAGCGCCCTACTCCCTTTTGAATTGGCGCCGCTCCCAGCAAAAACATCGCTCCCGCTCGAGGCTTCCTCCCTTTTTCCTGAAGACGGTGCTGTTCCTCGCCGCCGGCAGCCCCCGTCCCGACAAAACCACGGCTCCCGCTCGATGCCGCCTGCCTTCTTACTCAAGGCGGTGTTCCTCCTCGCCGCGAAGTTCGCCGCCCCGACAAAACCAGCGCTCCCGCCCTAGACTTCCTTCCGTTTTACGCTGGACTAGCGCCCTACTCCCTTTTGAATTCGCGCCGCTCCTGGCAAGAACAACGCTCCCGCTCGAGATTTCCTTTTTGTATTCCTCAGGACGGTGCTGTTCTTCGCCGCCGACAGCCCCCGTCCCGACAAAACCACGGCTCCCGCTCGATGCTTCCTCCTTTCTTACTCAAGGCGGTGTTCCTCGTCGCCGCCGAGAGCCGCCGTTCGAAGAAAACCAACGTTCCCGCTCGAGACTTCGTTTTGTGTAACGCTGGACTAACACCCTATTCTCTTCAGAATTGCCGCCGCTCCCAGTAATAACAGCGGCCCTGCTCGAGATGTCCCCCTTCACCGCCGACAGCCCCCATCCCCACCAAGGCAATCCTGTCGTTCGATACTTCCTTGTGCTTTACCCTTCGCTGGGGTTCCACTGGCGGTCTCGCATCGGCGCAGCAAAGCGCGGGCATGTGTATTCGAGGCGGGATATGTCGACATTCCTCGGAAGAGGTGTTTGCAAAACTTCATTGGGCGGGAAATCTGGGAATGGGAATAACGGACCCCGCTATAGAACAAGAGTCACCCATGATGTGGATGGTTATCATGATGGTCGCATGCTTCGTCTGGAAACATCGCGCATAACGGTGCGCTGTTTGTTGTTGTTGTTGTTGGCAACTAAGCAGTTATTATTGTTGGACTCTCCAGGCGCTTTGGCGTTCTCGCCACGACGCTGGCTACATTTTCATTGGAAATTGGGCTCGCGCTCGAGCGGTTTGGGGGGGCGTCAAAACGCCCCCCCCCAACAACAACAACAACAACAACAACAACAACAACAACAACAACAACAACAACAACACCAACAACAACAACAACAACAACAACAACAACAACAACAGCAACAACAACAACAACAACAACAACAACAAATACAACATCAACAACGACGCTCCCGCTCGAGACTTCCACCTTTTTTACAAAGGGCCGCTCGCCGCCGAAAGCCGTCGTCCCAACAAAACCAACGCTCCCGTTCGAGACTTCCTCCCGTTTTATCTTGGACTGGCGCGCTACTCTTTCTCTCATCGGCGCCGCCCCCAGCAAGAACAACGGTCCCTGTACCTCGTTCGACTGTGAAGCGTGATTCGAGTGGCGGGCTCCCGAGAGTACACCCACCACAAGGCTGGACCGGCCGCGGTAGACAAACACTCTGGGGAGGCTGTGCCGCCCGGAGAGGGAGGGAGAGAGGAGGGGAGCAGCAGCAGCCGGGGCCGGCGGGACGAGGAGGGAGGGCGGGCAGGCGGGAGGGGAGACAAACAGAGGGCAGCAGGCAGGGAGCAAAAGGAAAGGGAGGAGGAAGGAGGAGGAGGAGGAGGAGGAGGACAAGGAGGACGGAAGGCAGCGACCGCAAGCAGACAGGCCGGGCCAGGGGCCGGGAGAGAAGAGCCACCCGCGACGGGGCTACGAACCCAACGGCGGCGACCTGGGCAGGGGGGCCGCTCGAGCCCAGCACGATGCGGCTTGGTGGGGATTGCCCTCTGCGGGATCCATCCACCGCCCCGCCGGGGAAGGGCTGGGCGGCGCGTGGGAGGGGTCGCCGGCGCGACGTTGGCGAAAGGGCGCGGGGGGCGCCCGTGCTGCCCAGCAAGGGCGGGGGTGGGGTGGGCGGGGGGCGCTAGGCAGCGCAGGGGGCACCTCACACGGCGTCTGCCGTGGAGGCCGCCGTGGCCGCGGCCAGGCGGGCCGCTGCCACCCCCGCCCCTCCAGACAGGGTCAGAAGGCGCCGCAACACCGCCCGCGCGTTCTCCCCGTGCAGGGAGACGGAAAGTCGCTGGGCGTGTTGGTCCGCAACCAGTGCGGCGTCTTCCCCCGTGGCGTCAGCCACCCGCTTGGCCAGGACCCCGAAGGCCCTGCGTGCCTCGCGGCCCCACCCGCCGCCGTGGGCTTCCACCGCCATGGGGAGGAAAGTGAAGCCCTGTGCCGCGCAGAGCGGCGCGGTGTCCTGGTGCTGCCTTTTGAACTCCTCGGACCGCTCCGTCGCTGCGCTTGACGAATCGGCCGACGCGGCGAGGAGATCGGCGCGCAACCCTGACGTGGCGGCAAAGTCCCAGGCGGCCGCCGTGCCGTTGCGCCACCGCGGCAGGTAGACGTCGGCAGGGCGGCGGCCGTTGTCGTCCACCTGAGACTTCCTCCTCTCTATTTTGCTCAAGGCGGTGCCCCCCCTCGCCGCCGAGAGCCGCCGTCCCAACAAAACCAGTGCTCCCGCTCGAAACGTCCTCCCGTTTTACGCTGGACTGGCGCCCAACTGTCTTTTGAATTGGCGCCGCTCCCAGCAAGAACAACGCTCCCGCTCGAGGTTTCCCCCCTTTTTCCTGAAGACGGTGCTGTTCCTCGCCGCGACAGCCCCCGTCCCGACAAAACCGCGGCTCCTGCTCGAGGTTTTTTCCCTTCTTGCTCAAGACAATCCGCCTCCTCGCCGCCGACAAAATCAGCGTTCTTGCTCGAGATTTCGTTTTGTGTAACGCTGGACTAGCGCCCTACTCTCTTCAGCATTGGCGCCGCTCCCAGCAACAACAACGGCCCTGCTCGAGACTTCCGCCCTTTCAATTCGTGGCCTGGTCTTTGCCTCGCCGCCGACAGACCCCATTCCCACCAAGGCAATCCTGTCGTTCGATACTTCCTTGTGCTTTACCCTTGGCTAGGGCTCCACTGGCGGTCTCGCATCGGCGCAGCAAGGCGCGGGCATGTGTATTCGATGCGGGATATGTCGAAATTCCTCGGACGAAGTGGTTGCAAGACCTCACTGGGCGGGAGATCTGGGAATGGGAATGACGGGGCCCCGCTATAGAACAATAGTCCCCATGATGGGGATGGTAATCATTATGGTCGCATGCTTCGCATGGAAATATCGCGCGTGAAGGTCAAATTCTTGTTGTCGTTGTTGAAATCTCATTCCTGACTGATAATTATTGTAGATCCCCCCCCACCTGTGCACGCTGTTTTTTCTCAATCAAAGTGCGCCCCTCGACGCTCGCACCCTGTTTTTCGACAGGGAAAGTCTTGATCCTCAAACTGCGTTGTCGCCCCCCCGGATTACAACAACAACGGCTCCCGCCTGAGACTTCCTTACAATTTACTCATGACCCCCGCTCCCGCCTGAGACTTCCTCACAATTTACTCAAGATCGGCGCTCCCGCCTGAGACTTCCTCGCAATTTACTTAAGGCCCCCGCTCCCGCCTGAGTAATTCGAAGTGATGTCCCGCGTCTCCTTGAGCGTTGCCTTCCACATCGCGCTGAGCAGCATCGCCAGTGCCTGCTGCTGAGGCTTGCCCTTTTAGCACAAGCAGATCCTGGCTCTGTAATGATGGCGCTTCGTTATTGTATATAGCTGATCACATCCCGCACGCGCGAATCCCAGCAATGTGATTGATGACGTCGGGCTCCGACTTCGCCTCCCGCGGGGCCGCTGGGCAACAACACTGTCCACTGCCGTATTTCGCTTTCCTGCACGCAGTGACCCCAGCGTAATGGCTAACGAAATGGGGTCTCAGTGTGGATTGCCGCTGAAATCTGCTTGCGACAAGTGAAATGGGGTCTCACCGACAAGTGCCAGAGCTCGCTGCCTCTGATTGCGGGTTCGCCTCCCGCGCTTCTCCAATTACACGTGGCCGGGAAGCAATATAACCCCCCAAAAGGGGTACGATCGAAGACGAAGAGGGCGGGTATTCAGGGTTTGGGATATGCATAGTGAATGACACGCGGGCAGATAGGAGCGAACAGTCTTATAATGATTGTTGTTGTTGTTGTTGTTGTTGTTGTTGTTGTTGTTGTTGTTGAGTTTTTATTTCTGAAAAGTAATTATTGTTGGTCCCCCCCGCCCGGTGCACATGGTATTTTTACAATTGAAGTGCCCCTCTTGGGGCTCGCATCCTGTTGTTTATCAAGGAAAATCTTGAAGCTCAAGCTGTGTTGTTGGCCCCCGGTTTATAACAACAGCGGTTCTCGCCTGATACTTCCTCACAATTTATTGAAGAATCGAGCTCCCGCCCGAGACTTCCTCGCATTTTATTCAAGTTTCGCGCTCTCGCTTGAAACTTCTTTGCAATCTATTTGGGAATCGTTCTTTCGGCGCTCTGGAATCGCGCTCTCGCTGGAGACTTGCTCGCAATTTGCACAAGAACAGCCCCCTTGTGTTGGAATTTCCACCGGTTAACTCAAGCGCCGCGCTCTCGGCACTCAGGCACCCAGGAGTCGCGCTCACGCTGACGACTCCGTCGCAGATTATCCAGGAATCGAAATCTCGCTGCCCTTCGTGGCCCCGTTGCAGTCCTTCGTGGCCTCCACGCTGCACTTCGTGGCCCCGTTGCAGCCCTTCGTGGCCCCGTCGCTGCCCTTCGTGGCCCCGTTGCAGCCCTTCGTGGCCCCCTCGCTGCCCTTCGTGGCCCCGTTGCAAGCCTTGGTGGCCCTGTTGCAGCCCTTCGTGGCCCTCTCGGTGCCCTCGTGGCCCCGTTGCAGCCCTTCGTGGCCCCCTCGCTGCCCTTCGGGGCCCCCTCGCTGCCCTTCGTGGCCCCGTTGCAGCCCTTCGTGGCCCCCTCGCTGTGTTTCGTGGCCCCGTTGCAGCCCTTCGTGGGCCCCTCGCTGTCCTGTGTGGCCCCGTTGCAGCCCTTCGTGGCCCCCTCGCTTGGCTTTGTTTCGTGGCCCCGTTGCAGCCCTTCGTGGCCCCATCGCTGCCCTTCGTGGCCCCATATGTATGCCCTTCGTGGCCCCCGCTCGTAGCCCCCTCGCTGCCCTTCGTGGCCCCGTTGCTGCCCTCAGTGGCCCCGTCCTTGCCCTCCGCGGCCCAATGTACGTATGCCCTTCGTGGCCCCCGCCCGTTCGCGCCCGTCGTGACCCCACGTGCATGCCCTTCGTGGCCCCGTGGTCGCCCTTTGTGGCCCCCTCGCTGTCCTACGTGGCCAAGTTGCTACCCTCAATTGCCCCGTCGTTGCCTTCTGTGGCCCCGCATTCTCTGCCCTTCGTGGCCCCCGCTCGTTCGCGCTCTTCGTGGCCCCGTACGCATTCCCTTCGTGTCCCCGCTGTCGCCCTTCGTGGCCTACTTCGTGCCCTTCGTGGCCCTCCTGTCGTTCTCTCTCTCGCTCTCGCTTTCGCTCGTCGTCGTCGTCGTCGTCGAGGTCGGTCCCCTGTCCGTCCCTCTTAGGGTCGGGCTGCCGCCAATCAGCGCTGCCGCTGGCCAAGCCGACGGTCCGCGGCCGCCCCGCCGTTTTTTCGGGGCCCGGCCTGCAGGGAAGAAATCTATCCCCCCAAAAGGGGTATAATCGAGGACGAAGACGGCCGGTATCGAGGGTTTGGAAAATACGCGTTAACGGACACTCGAACAGATAAGAGCGAACAGTTTTAACATGATTGTTGCTGTTGTTGCTGCTGCTGTTGTTGTTATATGTTTTGTTCTCTCTGGAGAGGAGAGCGGGGAGGAGGAGGAATATAGGGAGGAGGAAGAAGATGATGATGAGGAGGAGGATGACGACCCCGAGTTCCAGCGGACCCCGTGGTCATCGAGGATCGTCTGGGGTCGGCGCTGCTGGGGTCAGCGCGTGGTCGACAGGATCGAGGGCAGTAAATAGCACGCACAAACATGAAATTTCGGAGGTCCACGCGGATTTCTTGGATCGGCGCTGAACCCCCCTCCCTGGCGCTCGGAGCGCGCCAGGGGCGGCGCCGGGGGGGCCTAGCGCCGATCCAAGAAATCAGCGTGGACCTGAAGACATATATGTTTATGCTTGTTTTCTTCTTCGACGAGAGGGGTCCGCCGACCCATCCCCCGCTGGCGTTGCTCCTCACAGCGCGCACTATTACCCCTGGGCTTGCCCGACCTCCACTGCGGCGCTGGCGAAGGCCCTGGCGAGGCAGTCCACGGTGCAGCGCAGGTCTGCGAGGGAGGAGGTGATCTCCCTGAGGTGGATCCTGGTCTCATGCCGGAACGTGTTGAGGTCGATGCCTGTGGCCGAACCCTGGCTGCGCAAGCAGGATAGAGCCAGCGCGTCAAAGTCTATCTCGTCGGTGCCGTGAGCGGCAGTGACCATGCTGAAGAAACCCATCGCCTCCTTAATCTCAATGCCCCTGTCCTGCAAGAAGCATTGGAAATCCGAATGGGAGATCATGCGTATGAACTCTTCCAGGTTTGTTCGACCATCCTTATTTATATCGCACTTCTCGATCATCTTCCTGAGAGCTTGGCGGTCTTTGTTTTCCATCCTCTGCTTACGCTGCAAGGCTTCCTCAGCATTAGGCTTTGCAAGTTGTGAAGCCTTGTCCACGAATATCCGCCTCAACACTCTCGGCACGATGTAGTGTGGTAGAATATCCGTTGATGTGTCTTGCTGAATTTCTGTTTTTGCCAACGCTGTGCTCACCAGACGAGCCACGACCGTCCCAAGAGAACTCCGACACGGTCTTGGAAAGGCAACCAGACAGCCCCCATACCAGCCTGCTGAATCCCACGAAATCCACGAATGCTTCCAAATGTGCACGCGCAGTCCAAGAGTTGGCAGGAAGCTCCCAAGAAGCGCCCCCACTAGGGGCTCTGGCGATGCCCTCATAAACTCCAGACAACTTTTAGCTTCATGAGTTTCAGTGTTTATCTTCCGAGGCTTTTCGGCTTGTTACTGCTTCGAGAAAGCTTCAGAGAGATACCCAGAACGGCCCAATATGGCTTGATGATTCCACACGACGACCCACAACCGATCCAAGGCGGCCCCAAGACCCGCTAGAACCCCCACACATATCACCCCAAGACGAAACGCAACAACCATGCAACATGACGGCTGTGCCATGTTACAATATCGTAGAACCGCTTCCGAGTCGGCCGTCATATGGCTCCCACGGAGCCTGTTCGGATACCCCCGCACAAAGCATACCCTACATGCATGTCGATGCTGCGCTGGCACAGTGACGGGGTCTGCCGCAGGCAGCCGGATGGATGTCACAACATTCCAGATGGCTATCTGAAAGAAGAGGATGAAGAAATCTGCTGGCCCCCAGTCGAATGGGCAATTAGGGTGTGAGGCACAGGTTTGAGCAACTGAGCAGCTGAGCATTCATAATTGCACATGCAATCGGCAATATCGCACTGCTGTTTCCCAAATTGAGCTTTTTCGCACGGGGTTCTCATTTCTGTTCGAAACAACATGATCGACCCACGAACCCATAAAGGAATATAGAAATGCAATGCATGCCAACGTTTTCAAAGACACCTGATTGGGTGACGGGCAAATGCAATGCTGAGTGTATCGATCTTGATGTTCCCTGCCGAGGGCTGTGCTGTGCTGCACCGTGCTGAATTGCGATGTGCCATGCCGCGATTGTGCTCTATAGCGTCGTGGATCGAGTCCTCCTTTGCATCCGAGTCATGACCGAACTGATCTGGATCTTAAGCTCGAGCTGCCTGAACACGTAGTAGCTGCCCCAAACTAATTGACAGGGGAACATGCCAGGAAGACGCGCCGCGAAACGTCTCAAGGGACGCGCCAGGCGACGTGCCAGGGGACGTGCCATGGGGTCGCACCGCGGGACGTGCCAAGGGGACGCGCTACGGAACCTGCTGGGGACCAGCGTTTCGCTCGAGACATCCTGTCAAAATCCTCATGCTAGACATCCGCCCGAGCGACCTGGACACGTGAAAACAAGCGTTTCGCTCAACACATCCTCAACACATTCTCATGCTAGACATCCGCCTGGGCGAACTGGACACGTGAAAGCAAGTGGTTCGCTCGAGACATCCTCAACACATCTTCATGTGAGACGTCCGCCTGGGTGACCTGGGCACGTGAAACCAAGCGTTTCGCTCGAGACGTTTTCAACACCTCCTCATTCTAGACATCCGCCTGGGCGACCTGTACACGTGAAAGCAAACGTCTGGCTCGAGACATCCTCAACACATCTTCATGTTAGACATCCGCCTGGGCGACCTGGACACGTGAAAACAAGCGTATCTGCCGAGACGTTCTCAACACATCCTCATGCTAGGCATCCGCCTGGGCAACCTGGACACGTGAAACAAGCATCTCGATCGAGACTTCCTCAACAATCCTCATGCTAGACATCCGCCTGGGCGACGAGGACGCGTGAAACCAAGCGTCTCGCTCGAGACATCCTCAACAACTCCTGGCGCTAGACCTCTGCCTGAGCAACCTGGACGCGTGAAACCAAGCGTCTCGCTCGAGACATCCTCAAGACCTGGGCACGTGAAAACAGGCATTTCACTTGAGAGATCCTCTGAATTCTGGTCCCCAGGAGAAGACAATATATAACACAAAAAAGGCGTTTCGCTCGAGACATCCTCAACAAATTATGAAACACATGCGTTTCGTTCGAGACATCCTCAAATTTAAATTTCGCCGGCCCTACGCGACCTCGTTATTTGTCGCAAAAGAAATTCGCCGGCCCTACAGCCGTCAGATCCGGGGGCAAACCTCTAAAAGAGAACCCTGGGCCTACGCCCTTTCCGGGAAAAAAGAACCCTGGGCCCGAGCCCTGTCCGGGAAAATGGGTGTGGGGCCTGCGCAGGCCAACCTTCCCCTTGTTGCTTGGTCTTGGCTCCTTGGTCCTGGTTCCTTGCTGCCTTTCTCAATTTCCTTGGTCTTGGCTCCTTGTTTCCGTGGTCTTGTTTGCTTGGGATTGGTTCCTTGCTGCCTCGCCACGAAATGCCAAGCAATTCCAAGCAATACCAAGCAACGCCAAGCAATGTCAAGCAATGCCAAGCTATGCCACACAATGCCAAGCAACGCAAAGCAATGCCACGCAATACCAGGCAACGCAAAGCAAGGCAAGCAAATGTCACGCAAAATCAAGCAACCAAGCACTCTGCCACACACTATGTCAAGACGTATGGCAAACAACACGCCAAACCAATGCACCCATGCAAAAAGAAACCTTCCCATAGTTGGGGTCGCGCCAGATTCAACTTGTGTTATTTGAAGGGTGTACGCGGTGACAGACTGGTGACGTGATGGCCTTCTTCAATCGAGCTATGGGGCGTAACGGCTCCTCATTTATTTGTAAATGCGACGCACCGTGCGCGACCATGAGCAGGATGATGAACCTGACAATTCCCCAGCGACGTCCCCAACCCCATCTGCAACAATCGACTATAGCAATGGGCCGCATCATGCGGATGATAAGATGACACGGGACGAAATGTGTTGTGAAAGTCTTATGGGGGCTCACGCATTCCACGATACACACCCTGTCGCTGGACCTCCCAAACGCCAGCGAAAATGGCGACACTTGCAGAGCTGGCAGCTCCCAGTGTGGGGGTGCGTTGGGCACATCGCCGCAGGGCCTCCCAGGAACACACGAAGATTGCAGCATTTGCGCAGGTTGGAGGCCCCTAAGGGACTCCGAGGTCTAGTCTGTATCTGCGAAGGACGCCACCCCGCTGGATCTCTCAGGAACCCACGACAGTAAAGACAATTGCGCAAGTGGCAGCCCCGCAAGGAGCCGCGACGTCTAGTCTGCATGTGTGTGGGACTCATCTTTGCTGGAGCTCCCAGTAGCTCGTGGAACAAGCGACGTGGCAGCCCCCCCAGGGAACCGAGAGGTCCAGTCTCTATTTGCGTAGGACGCCGCAAAGCATGACCCCCTCCCAAGAACTCACACACGAGGCGACATCTGCCGAGGTGGCAGCCAGCCAGGGAGCCGCGAGGTCTAGTCTGGACGTGCGTAAAGACACAACTCCAGTGTTTCCCAGGAGCGCACGAGTAGGGCGACATTTGCGCAAGTGAGAGCCCCAAAAATTGCCGCGAGGTTTAATCTGGATCTGCGTAGGATGCTACCCCGCTGGCCCCTCCAGTTTTTCGCAGGCGAGCCGCGAAACTTATTTTGGATGTGCGCAGGGCGTCACTCCACAGGACCCACCACTGTGGCGGCATTTGCGCAGGTGGCAACCCCCCAAGCCGCGAGGTCTAGTCTGGATGTGCGTGCGATGCAACTCCGCAGGGCCTCTCAGGAACCTACGATTGTGGCGAGTTGCCGGACCATGGCCAAGCTGCCGCGGTGACCGCACCGTCCTAGCTAGGAAAACCCCGGCGGAAACTGGCGAACAAATCATCGCCCTCGGAGGACGCGACCCACTTGCCATTATTGTCCTTGGCTGCCCTGGCTGAGGCGGCACCCCCTATTCGTACCAAACACTACTCCCCACTAGGGCGTCTGCCGCCAGGGTTTGGCCGCCCCCTGCCTACCGCGTCTAGGGCTCGCAGGGAGCTCTCCGCCGTGCCGCGGACGAGCGAAGGTCGTCGCCAGTTGTCCTCCGACAGGTGGCCATGGAGTGCATCTGTCGTGCACCAGCCGAAGAGCCTGGCCGACTCGGGGCCTTCGATCGCGCGCCGGGAGGCCGTCGGCCCCGCGGATGCGGAACGAATGATTCCCCGCCCAGTCCCGTGGGACTCCAGCGTCGGCCACCGCCGGCGCCAGCTGTCCGTTCACGCTGTCGTGCTTGAGGGCCTTTCGGTCGACCAAACGAAACAGCGGAACCGCCGCCTCCGCTCCGTGCCCGAACCTTGAATTCCCTCTGCCATTTCAAAGGTGACCGCGCCGCGCCATGGTCCCGGCCCGACCTGTCGCGATTCGGAGTCTCGCCCGCGTCGTCATCCTCAGCCTTGCCTCTGGCGATCGCAAGGGCCGCCTCGTCTCAACCAAACCGCAGACTCTCCTGGCGCCCGCCGCCGAGGCCCTGCGAGTCGCGGCCATGCAGGACCCGCACGTGGCTCTGGCGCCAGCGGGACCTCCGAGGCCCTGGGCACGCCGGGGAAGCCCGTCATCGGAGCGTCCCACATCGCCGTCGCATCGCGCCGCGGTCGCCCCCCGCCCCCCCCGGCGCTCGATGAAAAGACCCATCGCCCGCGTCAGCGTGCGCAGGGTCACCACGACCTCGCGGCTCGTCTGGCGGATCCAACGCTCGAGATCTTCAATCGCGGCCCACGTCCGCCGATATGCTCCGCAACCGCGTCTCCGTGCTCCTCGATGGCAAACCGGGTGCCGCCGCGCAGTCCCCGATGGGGGCCGCGCGAACCAAGCGCCATCGCCACGTCGGGCACCCGCGCGTCGCCCTCTGCCCGATGGGGCCCTCGGGGCCCGATGCTTCAAAGCCGGCCGCGCCCGAGGGCGCGGCGCCTGGCCGCCCGAGGGCGCCCGCGACGCCCCGCTTCGTGCGCAGGTGGCGGGACCCGCGGGTGTCGCATGCGGGGCCCCCGCCGTCCAGCGAGCCACCTGCCGCTGGCGCGGGCTGCGGCGCCCGAGAGGTGCTCGTGCTGGCAGTTCGCCGCGTTGGCCCCCCGGCGCTGCGCGGATCCGCCGATCCCTGGCCGACCGCGTGGGGTCCGGGAACTATTTGGGGGCCCGCCCGAGCGAGGTTCCCGTCTCCTCCCGTGGGAAGCTCTCCGACGCCTCCGACGTTCGCGGGGCGGTCCTGCAGCTCGCGCCCTTCCGCGCCTCCCCGTGGGCCCCGTCGGCGTGCGCCAGGGCTGGCGGGCGGGGACGGCCGGGCTCCGCGCCTTCGGCAAGCTGGCGCGTCGGCCTCCGCCAGGTCCCCGACGCACCCCGCTGGTGCTCCTCGCTGAGGAGGGCCTTCGCTGCCAGGCGCATCGCCGCGGCCATGGTGTCGTCAGGCCTTTCGCGCCTTGCCCCTTGCGGCGCCGCGGGCCCAGGCCCAGGGGCCCGCCGAGCGGAGCGGGCGGCCCCGAGCTCCGCCACTCCTGCCCGCGCCCCGCTGCCGTGCTCGCCGCGCCCGGCATCTGTGCCGACTTCCGCCAGCTCGGCCTTGCTGCAGCCCTCCGCATCATGCTTCCTTCGGAGGGCCTGGCCACGCAGCCCCGCCTCCCGCTGCTGCCCGACCCTGGGGCTGCCGTTCGAGCTCGTGCAGACCAGTGGAGGGTCCGAGGAACATCGGGTTCCTTCCGAGAGCAAAGTGGACCTTATCCCACGTGCTGACTGGACTCGGCACTGCGAGCCAAAATGATCAATATCTCGTCGCTCCGCCGCGGCCGCTCGCGACATTGCCGCGGGAGATCCGTCGCCTCATTTCCTGTGCGCCCTTGCCCCAGGCGAACCTCATTTCTTTCCACACTTCGCGCGCAGCGTCAATCGAGAATGCCGTCGTGTTCCTCTCATGGGCGTCCTCGAACCACCTCAAGACGGCCCCGACGGGCCTCAAGACGGCACCAGAGGTCTCATGATGGTCCAAGGAAGCGCAACTACTCCCCGAGAGGGCTCCCAGAGGAGTAAAGACGGCTCAAGCTAGCACCAAGACGGCCAAAGAGGCCCCGTAGAGGGCCCCATCAAGGTCTCGAGTGGCTCCAGACGGCCAAACAACGCTCCAAGACAGACCCGGGGGTCCCCAAGACGGCCTCGGAAGAACCCCCTAAGAGGGCCCAAGATACTCCCAAACTGCCGCCAATTGGCCCACAAAGTGGCGGGTTCTGGAAACCCTGCACCTAAACATTTTGCCATCTTTTGGAAGGCCGACTTCTACTTCCGCTGGCGGAGGTGCCCTCGCTTTGCTCCAGCCGCCTTCCGCCGAGGAAGAGAGGCTAACTGCTTCGATCCTGGAAGTCGAGGTCCTTCCTGGAGCGCGCCGTGTGTTCCCCACATTCTTCCCGAAAGGGCCAAGGGAGCACACGGTCCAGCTCGGAAGCCGTATAGTATTGAGGGCCTCTCTGGGCCGACTTGGGGCCCTCCTGGGGTGCTCCAGGGCAGTCTTGGAGGCCACTTTGGGCGTTCTGGAGGCCTCGTGGGCCGTCTTTGGGCCCTCCTGGGGCAGTCTTGGGGGCCCCTTGGGGCCGTCTTGGGGCCATGTTGGAGGCCGGCTTGCACATGCTCCGGCCCAGCGTGCGGCCACATGAGCGCTTCCGGGAGGGCAAGGGGGGCGCAGGCAGCTCGCCGTGGGGCGTCTGAGATAAATCGTCACCACGGCGTGCGCTCCCACAGGGACCAGTGTCCCGTGCAGGACCTCCCAGTCGAAGCCTCCGGTGGTTGCCATCACCAGCGACCGAGCTGCGACGTGCACGCTTCCGAAGTATGCTATGATGGCATCCCGCTGGGCATCGGTCAGGCTGTCGTCTGTGCTCGCGAGCACGGGCGACGCCGACTGCACAAAGAAGAGCGCGAAGAGCAGCACGAAGAAGCCGACCATCAACAAGCACCACAAGAGAGTAAGTGCAGACTGGATCGTGGACTCCATCATTGTTCTCAACTCCTTCGTGAAATCAAGAAAATGAAGCATGTGGATGACCCGGACGAGCTTGAGGCACCGAAGCACACGTAAGAAGGACACATTTATGCTCGCGGCGGCGCTGAACACTTCGAGCAAGAAAGACATAACCCAAAGGAATGTGTCAAAATAGTTCCACATAACGTCAGGTTTGGCGGTGAAGAAGTACTTCCCTTGTGCAATTAACTTCAATATCAACTCCATGGTGAACCATCCGAAGAACACCGCCTCAGCGACATGGATTCCCGAGTCAGCATTGCCCTCGATAGCCAGCTCCATGGTTAGGTTGGCGTCAGTGATTGCGTATACGGTGTTCAGGATGATGATGAGCCCGCTCGCGAGCTCGAACCAGCGACTCTGAATCGCTCTAGCGAACATGCCGTTCGTCTCTGGCAGAGAACCTGAGTATCGTTTAACCGATCCCCATCCCCAGCGGCGTGGCCTGGGCCCCACTGGCCGATCTACCCCTCTAGATGGGGGGATGGGTCGTTCCCTTCGGGTTTCGACGGGCGTATCCCTCACTGGGGTAACTGGGGTTGTACTTTGGTGGTGGTCTCGAAGGGGATGGGGATGGGGATGGGGATTGGTTGAACGATACCGAGAACCGTAGTTGTCCTCGAACGCTTCACGCATCTCCGCGATCTTGTGCACAAGACTCTTTTGCACACGATCAGCCGTGGTCTGGGTCTCGATGGAGCATCTCGACTGGCGATGGGGCCCCCCAAAGCGCACCTCCGTCCCAAGCCTCTGCCCGCCTGCTGGCGGCGGCGCGCACACAGGGAGAGAGGCGGGGGTGCGCGGTCGTATACGAAGGCCTCAGACGTAGAAGAGACGAAAAACCACATGAACATAAACTTTTGGCACTCCGCGCGGATTTCTTGGATTCGCGCTGGACCCCCCCCAATGGCTGGCGGAGCGCGCCAGGGGCGGCGCCGGAGGCGCCGCTGGGGGGCCCGGGCGCGGAGCCAAGAAATCCGCGCGGAGCGCCAACAATTTTTGTTTGTGTTTTTTCTTCTTCGAAGACGCCGCCGCCCCCTGTCTTCCCAGAAAACCTCGCGGAAGCCCCCGACCCGCTTCAAGAAAACCCCCTTCAAATTTCAGACCAGGTCTCGCTGTTTTCCTGACGGCCCCGTCGGGCAAACCCGAGCCCCCCAAACCCGAGTCTTACAGTGGAGACCCATGCCAAGAGACACCCTGCTTGCCTCCAGTGTTCCCTGGGTTTCTCGGGTTTCGGTGGTTCTGCAATGCAGCGCGTGGCGCCCCCACACCAAAAATCAATGGACGTCCAGGGGTCTCAGGGTAGGGCTTCTTGTGGAAGGCTTCTTGTGGTCGGGGCCCTATTGTACGTCTTCCCGGGCACGTGCGCGCGGCCCAAGATGCCGCGCCCTCCGTGCCACTCCGCTGTGCGCGCCGCTATAACTCTGCCGCGGCACCCGGCGAGCCCGTGGGCCCAGGGCTCGAGTGCGAGACCCTGGGCGCCTGAGGCGGGGGCAGCAACGGCGACAGTGCCCGACAGCAGTCGGCGACTCTGAAGGGTGTGGTCTGCAAAGGGTGTGGTTTGTAACGCTCAGAGGTGACGACAGGGACGAATAGCCCAGGGGAGAGCAGTACATGTAGTCAGGTGAACCGATGATCTTTGTCTTCGAAAAGGCTCCCGGGCGAATGCGTGTAATGCCCGCCCCTGGGCTATTCGCCCCTATCGTCGCCGCCGGAACGCGCACCTTGGGGGGCGGGCGCGGACCCCAAGGAGGCCCGACGAGGGCAACGTGGTGCTCGATCGCAAGCCAGACCCCGGCGTAGCCACACCCTTTATGGTCGCCGAAGCAAGCGTTGCCCCAAACTGGCAGCGGGCGCCGTTCGGCGGGCGCTCCTTGCAACAAGAAGACGACGCCCGCGGCGATTCCGGCAACGGGCCCTGCTCAAAATAAGCAAAGGAGGAGGAGGAGGAGGAGGAGGAGGAGGAGGAGGAGGAGGAGGAGGAGGAGGAGGAGGAGGAGTTCAGCAAAACAAGCCGAAGCGGCGCAGCCACTAATCGCCGGAGGCCCGCGCGGAGTCCTCGGGTCAGCGCTGGGCTCGCAGCGCGCCAGTGGGCGCCCAGCGCCGACCCCCCCAAAATCTACACGGACCTCCGCACACTTTGGTCTATGCAAGGCTTGCCTCCTCGATTCCTTTCGCGGGCGAGCAAAGGCCGGGTTGGGGCAGAGGCAGGGCTGGAAGGGACGTCGCTCCGAAGGGCCCCTGGAAGAAGGCAGCGCGTGAAGCAGGAGTATCCATCTGGGCCCGTTCTCGGCGGCGCGCACAAGCGGGTGGAGGGAGGGGGGAGGGCTTCTCGGAAGGAGGCTGCTTCTCAGAAGGCGCCGGCTTTACATCTGTAGACAAGGCCCGCGCCTTCTACCGTCATCGGCCTGACCTAAGGAACGATACATAAGGAACGAAGCCCCTTTTTTCTCCAGGGAGTAACGCATAAGCAACGATAATCAATCAATAACGTATAGGGGACGATAAACAACGCATGCAAGCCGCCGAAGGAACGACGGAGCCCCTTTTGAGAAGTTAGTGTTCCTTATCCAAGCCGCTCGCTGTAAGAAGCGGGGGGTGCTTCTGAGAAGCCCTCCCCCTTCCCCCCCCCCGCCCCCCCTCGGCGCGTGGCTGACGCTCCCCAGCCCCGCCCTCGGGATGGCCCTCCCTCTGCGAGCCCCCGCCCTCTCCCCGCCCGCGTCGCGGTCCCCCCCGAGAGGCCGGCCACGCGCCAAAAAAGGGAGGCCCGAGGAGGAGGAGGAGGAGGAGGAGGAGGAGGAGGAGGAGGAGGAGGAGGAGGAGGAGGAGGAGGAAGAGGAGGAGGAGGAGGGATCAGCGATCCGTGGACTTGGCGCGCGGTCGCCAAATCCATGGAGCGGGGGAGGTGTCCTCCCCAAGAGTGCGGCCGGTGCCGCCTCGCTCGGCGGCGGCAGTCCGCGATGTCCCATGGAAGCGGGACCCGCCACCAATCCACGCCCCTTTGATCCATGCTTGCGATCGCCTGACTCCCTCCGCCAGCGAGGTCGGCCGCGCCAGCTCACCCGGGGAAAAGATTCGGCCCCCCCGAGTGGCCCTCACCTGTCCTCCCCCCCTCCGCGGCCGCCTGCTCTGTCCCGTGTCCCCTCTCTTGCATGCTGGCCGATTCGCTACGAAGGCGCCCCCGTGTAGCTCACTCCGCCAGAGCAGACGACCCCTGCCTAGCCGCCGACGGGAAAAAAGTGACCAACTTCCTCGCTCCTCGATTTTGGGGTCACAGCTGGGGGCTCTGGCGGTTGTTTGGGACGGTTCATGCACCGCCAGGCTGCTTTTGGCGAGGCGCAGCTGCTGAAAAAAGCACCCCGAGCCGCGAACGTCGCCGAGAACCGACGAAAACTTCCGAGCACATCAGAAAATCTCCGATTCGATGGGATCCCGAGCTTGGGAAATCGCCGAACACCGAGGAAAACGTCAGAGAGCCAGCGAAAACTTAACCAACCCCGCGGAACGCCTTTGTACATGCGCCCGGCCGCTCCGCGAGGAGCCTGCGACATCCCGAGGGAGGAAGGAATTAGCCCAAGAGCCGATGACAACGGCCGAGAGCGAACGTGTTTGTTCAGATCGGGAGCGACGAGAGTGAGCGAGACGAGAGCTGAGTCGCAACCGACATTCCCAGACATTCGCCGCCGTGCTTTGTGCAATCCGCGGCCCCAATTCGGCGACTCCGAAGGGTGTGGTTTGCCAAGGGTGCGGCTTGCAATCAGCACCCTGGGGGTCACCCTGGGCGGCAGGCGAGGACCTCGATCGAGTTCTCCGCCGCGCCCCGAGGCGGCCCGACGAGGACGGTGTTGTACCCCCGAGGCCCCAACGGCGTCGATCGCAAAAGACACCCCAGCGTAACCGTACCTTTGGGTAGTCGCCGACCAATGGTCCCGACAGTTTTTTTCACTGAGCTGGGCCATTACCCAGGATTTGGGAATCCCTACTGGTAGACTTCTCTTGGTTCTATATAGAATGCTGCAGCTCTGAAAGAGGCCCTCTTGCGGGTGATCCCTTGGATCCTGCGCCGTCTGCCCTGCACACCGCGGCTGCGGGGACCCAGATATCACCGAAAGTCCAGTGCCGACATAACAAGCAAGCGTGTAAGCCAGGCGCACCTAGTAGACGCCATGAGATTGCCTGGGATCTTTCTTCGGATATTGGTTGGGATATGGTGTATGGCTTGGAAGTAAGATAGCGTGAAAGAAGAGCGTGCAGGATATCGTTTGGGGTTGCCTGGGGGATGGTTTTGGATATGCTATGTTTTGAAAGATAACGTTAAGGGGATGCGGTTCACGGGGTTTGTTGGGACATGGTTTAGGATAACGATTCGACTATTGCTGCTGATATTGTTAAAGGTATGGCTTAGGTTCTTCGTTTGAATATACAACTGCCTGCGGCAAATCCCGGCTCCGTGCAAACCCAACATTCTGGGTGGCGACTATTCGGGGGGGCGCGGGAAGCCGTCACGAGTTACACCTCGTGTCTCGTCTCCAGGCTTGGGGAAAACGTGATGTTGATGAAGATGATGCTGATGCTGCTGTTGCTGATGATGCTGATAAGGATAAGCATGATGATGAGGATGATGATGATGATGATGATGATGGTGATGATGATGATGATGCTGATGATGATGCTGAGGACGATGCCGATGATGATGCAGATGTTGTTGATGATGCTGCTGCTGATAATGCTGATGCTGATGATGATGCTGATCTGATGATGCTGCTGCTGCTGATGATGATTATTCTGATGATGGCGCGACCGCTGTTGACGATGACGAGGAGGAGGAGGAAGAGGAGGAGGATGAGGAGGAGGAAGAGAAAGAGGAAGAACGTCACATGTGACACCTTTCGTCTTCACTGTCTCAGAACGCTCGTTTTGGCCGTCTTGAGGCTGTCTTGGCCTCCTGTGAGGCAATCTTGGGGGTCCCATGGAGCCCTCTTGGGCCGTCTTGGGGCCCTCTTAGGCCGTCTCACCGCTCTCTTGGACCGCCTTAGGGCTCTCTTGGCCGCATGGTGGGTGTCTGGGGACCGCCGTGGGGCCGTCTTGGCCCATCTTGGACCCTTGTGGTGGCCTCTTAGGCCGTCTTGGGGCCATCGTGGAGGCTTCTTAGGCCGTCTTGAGCTGACGGAAGCCCGAAAAGGCGAGCCTGCGACAATCATTCAGAAACCCAACAGGGAATCACAGATGTTGACTTCTACGGACCCTGTTGTAAGTCCTCTTGATGCCCTTTTGGGCCCTGTTGGAGGCATCTTGGGCCGTCTTGAAACCATATTCGGCCACCTTGAGCCCATCTTGACCTGTCTCCGAGGCAGCTCTGACCATCTAGGTGCCCTTGATTGCCTGCATGGACAGCAGTGGGAACCCAGGACGCGGATCCATCGTTCTTAACAAGGGATCTTGGCCTACGACTGCTCAATCCTTTTTTTTCAAAAGATCGTGGCCTCGGGAAGGGGGGGGGAATGCACGGACCACTCCGCTGAAAGACGGGGGGCTCCCGTACTAGAATGCAGAAACCCTACCCGCAATACTTGGCACCCTAACGCGTCCACTTCGTGCAGGCGCGGCGGCGGATAGACTAGGGCACTGTTGAGGAACGTGCATGCTATACTGTTTATGCTGTGATTTGGGATGTATGATCGGATGCTGTTGATGCTATTGTTTATGGTACTCGTGGCGATGACGATCTTGCTGGGGATATGTGTTCGGGAACTGTTGA